GCATTAAAGCGTAATAGATATAATTTTTTAAAATTTTTTTTCTCAAACACCACAAGCCATATTTTTGTTTTTGGTTTACAAAAATGAACATTAAATGATCCTCTGCATATTAATATTATAATTTGAAGAGTTGAAAAGTTATATAATATAATTATTCATGCAAAATAAATTAGTAAGAAATGAAAATGCATTGCAAAGTCATATATAATATAACTATTACTATAACACATTATTATCATCACTTTTTCTTCTAACTAGAAAAGAATTAACAGGTCTACCATCTTCAATAAATTCAATTTTATCTTGGATTATATTAAAGTGTTGATATTTATTTTTCACTATTTCTGAGAGTTCGCCCAATTTCAATCTATGTTCATCGCTATGAGGCCTTTCATATACATGTATCTTATCATCAACAAATGTACTTAGTAATAGGAATCCGCCTGGATTTACAAGATTTATCATTTTATCAAAAAAATTTCTATTTAGAAATCTTATACAAAGAACAAGATCATATCTTTTATTTAGAATTTCTTCATTACTTTCTTTCTTGTGCTCTTTTTCGCTTGTAATAATTTCTTTATTTTCATCCTCCCTTATTGGTAATAGCAACTTGATATTTCCATTATTCAAGATTTTAGCATTAATTGTTTGAATTTTATGTGGTACATCCATTCGTTTGGCTAAGAGTTTGGCACGATCAAGTGCACTTGTTAACACATCCATACCTGTAACATACCAATCAACACCGGATGATTTCCTTGCACTAAGCCAACAAATATCTCTACCACTACCACATCCAACATCCAAGCAATTAAAAACCTTTTTTTGTTGATCATACATAAATGATTCACCAATTAATGATTGTTCTATTAATTCAATATTATTCATTAGAAAAGGATTTGGTCGAAATAAAAACCATTTCTTCATCTTACAATCACTATTACCACTACTGTAGTTATTGTTATTAATGTTATTATTTGTTGGAGATGATAATATATTTTCACAAATTTCAAGAATATTAAATTCTTTAGCAAATTTCCACACTTCATCATCAGCCTCATTAAACACCCAATTGATCCTCCATCCATGATCTTTGAGTAATTGGTTAGCAACACCTTTATTATCACTTGGCTCTAGTACAGCAAATGGAATGGATTTTGGTGGCAATTCAAACCAATACAAATTCAAATCTGATACAGGTATGCAAGCTGAAGGAATTATTCTGCGACGGTAATGAACATCCAAAGATCTTAAGTCCAATAATAGACGATTTGAGCTTGTAAACCAATGATTTAAAGCTGCTCTTGTCATTGTTGATGATGTTGTTGATGCAATCGTCTTATTATTACCCTTTCTATAATTTCAACAGTTATCGCAAATCTTTATTTATGTAGATCGCTCTGCTTAATATTAAAAGGATGATCGAATTTGTACAATACCAAAATTTCAAACATTTTTTATAATGTCTTTTGATGAACAAGAATGGGAAGACGTCGAGCCAATTCCGCAAGACGATGGTCCTAATCCATTAGCTCCAATAAATTATGATCCAGATTGTAAAATAAAAGTTTCTTCTAAAAAATATAATGAATGTAGTTTTAGCTTAATAATAATTATTTTTTCAAATTAGACTCTCGTATAATGGATTATTTTAGAGCAATTTCTCGAAAAGAAGAATATAGTGAAAGGGCTCTAAAGTTAACGGAAGCAATTATTTCACACAATCCAGCTCATTATACCATTTGGTAAATTTGATTTTTTAATTCCTTATTTTATATATAATATGTGTGTATAGATAGATTTAACCAACAAATTTTTATTATTTTATTTGAAAAGGTATTATCGTCAAAAAATTTTGTTTGCTTTGAATAGCAATTTATATGATGAACTGGAATATGTTAAAAATCAAATACTTGAAAATCCCAAAAATTATCAACTTTGGTAATAAAGAAAAAATTTATTTCATAATATGACTTTCTTTTTTTTTGCAATCAGTCATTTAATATATGTATGTATGCTTGTTTGTTTGTTTGTATATTAAGGCATCATCGACATGTAATTGTTGAAAAGCTTGAGGATAATTCATCGGAAATATCATTCATCAACGAAGTGTTAAGAGATGACGCAAAAAATTACCATGCATGGACTTATAGGTAATATTATAACTTCTAGAATGATATATTTATTATTATCATTATTTAACTATATATTGTTATTGGTATCATCGAAAGACAATGGGTTATTAAATCATTTAATCTTTGGGACGAGGAATTATTATATTTGGACACGCTTTTAGATAATGATATAAGAAATAATTCTGCATGGAATCAAAGATACTTTGTTTTATTTCATAATCCTAAAGAACCATCTGATGATTTGATTTCTCGTGAAATAAAGTATGTAAACTTTCATACTTTAAAAATTTTATTTTTGTTGTTGTTATTATTATTATTATTAATTATTTTTTTTTGTCAATTATTCATAAAGCTATGCAATATCTAAAATTAAAATAACACCAAACAATATAAGTCCTTGGAATTATGTTAAAGGGTAAAAAAAACCTTATTCTCATTCGCATTCATATAAATTTATTTATTTTTATAATATTAGAAATATATATATATCTCTTTTTTTTAGAGTTATTGCAAAATCTAATCAGGAAATAGACATTTTAGAAAGTTTGTGTAAAGAACTTATTGAAAAGGAAAATATTTCTCCTCATGCACTTGGTTGTTTAGTAAATATTTATGAAAGACGTGCAAAACTTGGATTTGAAAAAGACAAGGATGAAGGAATTAAGGTTTTTTTTTTTTAGTATATGTAATTTAATAATTTTTAGAATAATTTAAATTTATTGGTTTTTTAAAAATAATCAAATAATTTCATTACTAGACTTGCACATTGTTGGCTGAAGAACATGATAAGATTCGCTCTAAATATTGGGAATATAGAAAAAATGTTCTCTTGAATCTATAAAAATATATGCGAGTAAAGCTAATTAACAATAGTAATATTTTAAAATTTTCCCAACTAAAAACATCATATATTTATTCTTTCTCTCTATAATCAATATTATGGATTACCCTTGCTTGATCTGATAATTTTGATTTTGAAAAGTCAATAATATAAATTTGAAACTTTAAAAGTAAATGCTCCTTTTGAAGTATTCATGTGGAATTGAATGACCATGACCTTCTAAACATAATAAACTGTATATAATTTTTTATTTAATTCTTTTGATGCTTATTTGTTTCTCAATTTAGAGGTTGATTCAAATATTAGAGCTGTTGTTATATTAAGGAGCAGGCAATTATTTACAGCTGGGATTTAGAAAATAAACATACGTGATTAGTAGTAATTTGTTCAAACAGATGAGACAAGTTTTGTTAGGAAAACCATTATAACGCGTCGTAATAGAATATTGTTATTGCAGTGATTCATATTGGTTGTGTTGATTTGGTTACAGCATATGATATTAGATAGATTTTTTTGATTTTGATAATAATAGTGATTTGTGTTTTTGGCTGGATGTTAACATCTTATGACGAATGACCAATTATTTCGTAAAATCTCCCTGACCAGGGAGACACCCATTTGATCTTTTCGATATTGAGAGTATTTTGAAGAAGCGTTGTTTAGCATATGTATTGACTGTTGTTGATGATTTGTGTATAGGCTCTTGAGAAGGACGGTAAAGTGAAATGAAAAGTTGAGAGTAATCTTGATACATAGTTCGATGGGTTAATAGTTATTCCGATCCTCTTGTAACGTTTCAAGCATCTTTCCTTCTAACAGTAGATCTCCCGACAGAAGAAAAAGTTAAAGGATGGAGTAAAGATAGGACTAAAGAATTTTGCAAGAAACAACAAAATCGATAAATATATGATCAAAGAGTTAATGGTGAAGTCTTCATGAACTTGACTTACAAATGCTTGCAAATCAGCCTATGAGTCTTCTTGTCAGGCCAGTTGTGTTAATAATAGATTAATCAAATTCAAAGAGGTAGGCGAGCTTAAATTTTTGATAGCCGATGCCTCACTCTTATTGCGTCATATTTTTAATTTAACGAAAGAAAATATTTAGAAAGAATTGGCAACGATACTATCTCTCTGGAAATTTTTGAAAGAAAAGGAAAATTTTCGTTTCACAAAATTGTATAAATCTTTTGATCATTGTTATTTCTAATATTAAAAAACGATTTTTAATTTGAAAAAAAATATTATTGTTGAAGGAATTGAACAAAAGTTTTTTTTTGAAAAAGGTTCTCCTGTTGCTTATTATGAAGAAGAAAAATGCAACAATTCGAAAATTTGATTCATTATTTAACAACCATGCCCTTTTTGAAGTGGCAAAGGAAATCATCGTCAATATAAAAAATTGTGGTAGAGTATGAATCGTAAATCGTAAAAATGATGTTGAATTTTACAGGATCTTTCAAGAGGTAAGAAGAACAGGAACTTTGTCAGTTAGAAGCAAGCAAATAATCCAAACAAAAATTAACCAAGAAACTGACCTTTGTAGTTTCTACGATACCACACATGTGGTCAACACTCGAAAAGCAGCTCAATCCTTCAATGCAGTATTCTTTAATCATCTTCCTTTTGACAAAACATGCAATGACCCAATGGTTTCTAATGCATAGACACACTGGAATTTGGAATATTAAATGATTGCTCAATTCAAAAACTTAACAAATTTGCCTCATAAATTGTATTTACAAGAAGGTGCACATGTGATGTTTCTTAATAATAAGCTATTTGATGAAAAAATATGCAATGGAACTATTGGAATAACAACAAAAATTTATGATGAAGAGAATGTTGAGGTGACCTTTCCTACCTTAGCCAGCATAAGCAAGGTTATTGTCCAAAGAGAAACATCTTACTTTGAAGTTTATGGCAAAAGAGCATCAAGGAATCAATTTCCTCTTCAGAATGCATTTGCTCTGACTGTTCATAAAACTCAAAATCGTGCCGATGGCGCGGGATATATAATAGATGCCAACAAGTATCAGCTTATCTATGTAGAGGGCACGAGACCAACAGCAAAGGATGATCTAGAAAAAATAACAAATAACTTAAATAATATGTTTGCGGAGATCGTAAAAGAAACTATTAAGAACAGAAGACGACTTCCTAAGACATTATATTTATTTGGCGGTCGAAGCTTCCGCCTTCGAATACATTTATTTTATATTGATTATTGTGGTATGTATGTTCGTTTATTGGAAAGTTTTTATTATAAAAAAGGTACTGGTAAGTTTGAACTAAACGTTAATTTAGGAGCGTATAGATTAAATGAGATCAATAACGCTAATCTTCCTCGAAAATTTTCTGAAATGAAGGATTTCGTTTATTTTTATGAATGTGTAATGAAATGGGCGGTATGTATTAATATTGATTATTTGTTGTGACATTTAACTTCCTTTAATCTTACGTGTTATTTATGAATTTAGTTGTTGATTCGGAATGTTATTGAATCCTTTGACACAGCAAGATCTGGACAGAGGCCATCACGGCTTTCGTATGTAGACGACCTATTTCAATTGGATAAGTAAAATTTTAGTTATATCTTTAGTTCACGACAATGTTGGATTAAAGTTATAAATTAATATCCACCTCCACTATTATCCACAAATTTATTTGTGCTTTTTAATGAAAAATAAAACTGTTCTTGGAAAATAACTTTGATATAGGAGTTAAACAATGCATGTGATTATTTTTTATTAGACATATAGTTGCACATTCCGCTTCCGCAAATACTTAACCTTAGATGTTACTTTTTTTTGGGTTATCTGTATATTGACATACAATTCAAACAATGTCTTCCATTATTGAAAATTGCAAGATGAGATTAATTTTCCTATACATTCACACAATCATGTTAAATAAAAAATGGCGAACTAAAAGGACCTCACTTTGTTGATATAAAAATGTCACCGGAATGGCAACACACAAATAAATAAATATACATCATGGTTATATGATGTAAATACAAATAAAAATATATTCATTAATTTTGATCTAGAATTTCCTGTGCTACTTCATGAGGCAAATGATCATAATCATCATTATCTAAACAATATTGTGCATATTCCCTAGAAACATAATAAAGGGATTTATTTGCAAGAAAACCTTCTTCTTTGGGATTATCTAAATTAACCACACAGTGTGCATATAGTTTGATAAATTGAAATTATTATTTATATGTACTAAAGAGATACCATTAATATATGATACATGTGTACTTAATTGTCTTTTTAACTTCAGCAAGATTTACTTACCACATTTGTTTCTCCTATTCCTGCATTAATGATTAATCTTTGATTAGGTCTTGGATTAGATGGTGTTGGAATGATGTTTCTAGAGGCATTAGAATTATTAGTCTCAGGAGTATTAGAATCATTAACCTTGTGAGTGTTGGAGTTTTTTCACCTAGTTTTAATAATATAAAGTACAGTGAAAAATCCATCTCAGATGTAAATGGAAAAATGCGTTACTGAAACAGGCCACTGAATACCCAATAATTAATCCGATCCAATCATTAATCGTTTTTCAATTGCAATTCATAAAGAAATAGATCATTAATTGAGAATCTGTCGAATTTCTGGAATACCCTTTCGATTATTAACATTGTTGATGATATTCTTTCTCTTGTGTCTGGTGTATTTCTTGGTGACTGAGATAATCCCTCAAAGATTTTATTCGGAAAGCTTTACAGATATTTTCAAAGAGATTAAAGTATTAATTGATAGTGGCAAGCATTACCGCTTTGTAATTACAGGAAACCCCGGAATTGGAAAAAGTTATTTCCTTTTCTATGTACTGTATGAGTTAGTAAAAATTGGAGAAACAATGTTACTAGACAGTCACGATCATGATAAATTCATCATTTTCAATAACAGCATGGTTGAATTGGAAATTTAGGGCATATTTTGAACAAAGAGACTACACGGTATCTAGATATCAAGGAACCTTTTGTCTCATCACCAAATCCACATTATTACAAGGAGCTTCCATACACAACAATGCGATACATGTTAATCTGAAGTTTAAATGAGATTTATTATTGCAAAGATGTCATGTTTCCACATATAGAAGAAAATGAAATGTTGAGTCAATTTGATAGATGGGGTGAAATACCAAGATTTGTATTGGAAAAGAATGAGACATCAGAAAATTCTCTTGAAAATGCAATTGTTACTAACAACCTGAAAAAATGTATACAGAGTATTGGAGGAATTGATAGCCCTGATTATATTAGTCATTGAATCCTCCATATTATCACCATTGATTATTGTTCCACAACCATAATATTCGCCTCCGCCTATGTAGTTGAGAAAGTTGCAGAACATTTTGAACTTTCAAAAAAAATGAGGACTTGTTACATTCCTTTCTGCCTCATGAGATGGTTGATTAGGTTTACTTCATGGGAAACTATTTGAAAAGTATGTGCATAATATTTTGCGTAAAGAGGGAACATTTCATACTCGTAACTTGGTGGAGTATTACTTTCAACTAGCTTATGAAAATATTGCCTATGTTGATTCTTTGATTCCGAATGTTGGACTTTTTCAAATGACAATTTCACAAAAACATTACATCAAAGTAGCCACACTAAAGATATGGTTGGCAAAAATAAATATTTGTTATATTTTGTTGTTTCCATGCGGAATAGATTTATTTCCTCTTTGGAATAGAGTTGGAAAGATAATGATGATTATGATCATTTGCCTCATGAAGTAGCACAGGAAATTCTAGATCAAAATTAATGAATATATTTTTATTTGTATTTACATCATATAACCATGATGTATATTTATTTATTTGTGTGTTGCCATTCCGGTGACATTTTTATATCAACAAAGTGAGGTCCTTTTAGTTCGCCATTTTTTATTTAACATGATTGTGTGAATGTATAGGAAAATTAATCTCATCTTGCAATTTTCAATAATGGAAGACATTGTTTGAATTGTATGTCAATATACAGATAACCCAAAAAAAAGTAACATCTAAGGTTAAGTATTTGCGGAAGCGGAATGTGCAACTATATGTCTAATAAAAAATAATCACATGCATTGTTTAACTCCTATATCAAAGTTATTTTCCAAGAACAGTTTTATTTTTCATTAAAAAGCACAAATAAATTTGTGGATAATAGTGGAGGTGGATATTAATTTATAACTTTAATCCAACATTGTCGTGAACTAAAGATATAACTAAAATTTTACTTATCCAATTGAAATAGGTCGTCTACATACGAAAGCCGTGATGGCCTCTGTCCAGATCTTGCTGTGTCAAAGGATTCAATAACATTCCGAATCAACAACTAAATTCATAAATAACACGTAAGATTAAAGGAAGTTAAATGTCACAACAAATAATCAATATTAATACATACCGCCCATTTCATTACACATTCATAAAAATAAACGAAATCCTTCATTTCAGAAAATTTTCGAGGAAGATTAGCGTTATTGATCTCATTTAATCTATACGCTCCTAAATTAACGTTTAGTTCAAACTTACCAGTACCTTTTTTATAATAAAAACTTTCCAATAAACGAACATACATACCACAATAATCAATATAAAATAAATGTATTCGAAGGCGGAAGCTTCGACCGCCAAATAAATATAATGTCTTAGGAAGTCGTCTTCTGTTCTTAATAGTTTCTTTTACGATCTCCGCAAACATATTATTTAAGTTATTTGTTATTTTTTCTAGATCATCCTTTGCTGTTGGTCTCGTGCCCTCTACATAGATAAGCTGATACTTGTTGGCATCTATTATATATCCCGCGCCATCGGCACGATTTTGAGTTTTATGAACAGTCAGAGCAAATGCATTCTGAAGAGGAAATTGATTCCTTGATGCTCTCTTACCATAAACTTCAAAGTAAGATGTTTCTCTTTGAAC